GGAAAGGAAGCCATGCCTACTTCATACACCTGGTTTTACAGTGCCTCACAACGCTGTGGCACTTTTCAATACAATGCACTCACATGGTAGGGGCAGGGTGCACTTGGAAACAAAGCTGTGTTCAGATGCTGAGTGAAGCTTCAGGAGCCAAATGTTCTGTTCACTGATGTTTTTTCTTTTAAATAATGCAATAAAGTTCATTGTGAACCTGCACACAGTCACTTCTGTTCTCTTTCTTATCAGGCTAAAGGGTCTCCTGATAATCTCTTACTACAAAGATTTTATAAAACACACTCAGGGTATTTTTCCACCCACACAACTATGTTCTTCCCCTTTCGTATACTAAGACCTGAGGCGAGAGAGGTGAAGTGGCTCCCAAGCCACTCAGAGAGGATCAGGTGGATGTGGGCAAAGGCTTTCTGGTCCTGACTCCCTGTTCTTTACCACCAAGCCCACCGCACCTCAGTGACAGTCTCTGCCCTCCAAAAACCCTTACAACCCAAAGTCTCTTTGGTATGATTTATGATTCTGCTCTTTTGGATTAACATTTCTTAACGTGAAATTAGCATCGGCATCTCTTCACAAAATGCGTGCAGCACCTCTGAGACCCTTGTGAAGTGTCTTGACCGTCAAATGGTATCTCATCCCAGTGGGGAGCTGTAATCTGATGGGGAAAGCTGATTCCACAGAGCTCCTGCCCGAGTGGGCTGACTGGTACTGAGCATTACCACACGAGGAAGACATGAGCACGAACTCTAGGCCCAACTCTGCACAAGCTACTGCACCCAGAACAGCCTGTTTCATTCTCTGCATGCTTCCTGGGAGAAAGCTGGCGTTACCCCATGCACAGACCAGAAGACTAGGCTCAGGGAGGTTAAAGAACTTGTGCAGCATTGTAGAGAAAGTTAGCACTGGAACTCCAATTTGTCTAAGCTGATACCCATGCTCTTGCCACTGCTCCTTTCCCCAAGTGATCAGATGCATGGACACTGGCGCACCATTAAATTAGAGCTTCAAATAACTGAGCAGCACGGACTGGGGCTGTCCTCATCTACAATGCAGACAACTGAATCATGGTCCCTAAGTAATGTAGGTCCTGACCTGAGGACCTGTGTCACCTCACATCACAAAAAGACCTGCAGGGGAAATTCAGTCTGGGATCCTGACGAGGAGAGAGAAGCGCGAAGGAACCCGTGGGTCTTTACTGTGACCAGCATCCGTGGAAGAGACAGGGAGGGGAGACACAGAAGAGAGGGTAATGTGACTTCAGAGGCAGATGGGCCCATGCAGCCCCTAGCCAAGAAAGGCCCACAACTCGCAGGGGCCCAAGGGGCAAGGCAAGCTCTGCCCACAGCCACCAACCTGTCTTAGCCTGAGGACTCGGGGCACACTGCTGGGCTCCAAAACTGGACAGGAGTAAATGTCTACTTTCAGAGCCACCGAGTATATGACCACCTGCTAGGAAGCCACCACTCTCAGCAGAGTAGCTAAAGTTGAAATACCTACCTTAGTCAGAGGTCAGTCAAGTGGAGTGAAATCCATTATTTGCTCTTTCTTCTCCTAGCCCTCTGAGAAAAGATAAACTGATAAAAGCTTTGAAAATGTGAAGTCTTTTTTTTTTTTTTTGTTAGTGGGAATCAAACTCAGGACCTTGTACTTGCAAGGCAAGCGCAGTACCACTGAGCTAAATCGCCAGCTCCTAAAATGTGAATTCTTAACAGCAGGAGTTTGAAAAGTACTGACATTTTTCTTTCCAGGGGCAGTTAATAATTGGTTCTACCTTCAGTAAGTGCAAAACAAAGACAAATGAACTTAAAATCAGCCTTAGCACCATTCAGTTTAAACCCAAAGTGAAGAGTTGTTCGCAGTCTCTGGAGGGCTTTAGAAGCTGGGAAACAGGCATCCACCTCAGGCATATCGAGAATTTAAGCAGCAATCATTTCCATTTTTCTCTGAGGCTCACTGCCTTCCTGTCACTCTTTAGCTTGTGATTCTAGAAACTCTTACCTGAGCTATATGTTCAGAAATGCAACACTTTCCAAGGTATTTCACAGCATAAAATTATCATTGCTTTATTTTATTAATGGCACTGCAATTATGTTCAGAGAAGGACTGCTCTTTGAAAGATGCTTCCTGAAATATTTACGGATTAAACGACATGACGAGGCTGGCTTCAAAATAAACTGGGGCACGGGGACGTGCGTCACGGAGGAGATGAACTCTGTGCCACAGTGATTGCTGACACTGGGTGAGGGCACAGGGCGGTGCGGGATACCACGCCCGCACCTCTGTGTGCACCTGCAGTTTTCACAGTGATGGAAGGAAAGAAGAAGGGTGGCAGGGAAGGGCAGGAGGAAGGAGAACAGGGAGAAAGGGAAGGAAGGAAACAAAGCGGGGAGCAAGCTGCAGATGGGTCCTCACAGGATGTGAGCTCTGTGCTGTGTGGCCTTGTCCTCACCTGCACAGCGCTGAGGGCCCGGTCCCAGGGGTCCCACGACTCTGGGCGCTGTGGCCTTTGTCCCTTTGTCCATCTCTCACCCCTCCTCTCTTCCTGCGTCCTTCCTGGGAAGGACAAAGCAACCAGGTGCTACACCACAGGTGACTTTAAACAAATGGAAATCTTGTATCCATTGACTGGACTCAGCCTCCACACCATGGACAAAAGGAAACACATTTTGCAAATGCTTTTAAGAGCCTAAGTTTCAAGGAAGGCAGTTTCCCAGGGCCTCAACAACAAAAAGTAAAATTTCATTGGCCAGAGAATGTAAGAATGTAAGAAAAATTAGATGACAGGTTGAAACTGGCTTTTATTATGCAAATTTATAATGTAAACAAAGTCCTAGGGCAATGTGCAGAAAGAATATAAATTACTGCAGCGTGAGGAAAACTGGCAGTTTCCCACCGACCAAGGGTGCGCACACAGCCGAGGGAGGGAGGCGCGAGTCCTCCTGCCCCCTGCCCGCTGGGGCTGCACTGCAGTTTCTGGCTCCAGATGCCCACTGCTCCCTCACAAACTTGAGGAACACTGCTCTGCTGGCACAGGCAAACCCTAACACTAAACAGAACCATACTAAAATTTCTGTTTTTCTAGACCAAAATAATGGAGGTTGCAATTCCCTGCAGAGCAACCCCGCTTCTCAGTAGTGGGAAACAGTTGTGTGAAACAGCAGGATCCCCAAGCACAGAGTCCAGAGAATGACTGCCCAGGCCTCTGGATGAGGACAGTAACGTGGGCACCCAAAACTGTGTCCAGCCCCAACTCAGCACACGAGGAAGGGCCTGGCGCGCACAGAAGCAACTGAGAGACCGAAGGTTTCCGGGAAAGAAAAAGAAAGAGCAAACAAGGTCACATGTCTAGCTGTATCCGCAGCCCACAGGAGAAACAGGGACAGACACATCTAAAGGCAGGGGGTCACTCAACCGAAGTAGGGTGCCCCGTGAAGGTGGGGAAAGAGGCAGCAGAGGCCAAGCTTAGCAGCGGGTGCGGCCAGGAGGGGTGTCCAGTAGCTGACACGCCACCTGTCCCGTCCAGCGCTGCGAGGGTCAGTCCCAACTGCAAACCGACTCACCGGCTCCCAGAGTCCAGCCCCCTCCCTCTGCCCTCTCCCCACCTCCTCTCTCTCTCCCTTCATCCACTGTCCTCAAGGAGGGGCCCTCTGAGTCTGCTCCAGCCTCACGGTGCTCCAGAAAACTTCTCCATAAACAACCTGCCTGATCTCTGGATCAGGAAAGGGAAGGGACCCAGGCCAGTACCTCCCCCTGCGGCTCATACTGGACCCTCCTACTGTGGAAGAGCCTGCTTCTCTGCCTCTTCAGAGGAGCCTGTTCTGGTCTCCCTTAATCTGCTCCACACACAGCAGAGCAGGAGGCAGCTCACAGCGGCTCAGGACGAAGGCCGCACCCCATTATCCTGCATGAGCAAACTCAGACAAGCTGCCTGTCCTGACCCCGCAGAGCCCCACCTGAGAGTGAGACAGAAACCTCAGCCGCTAGGGACAAGGAACGGTGAGCGGCACAGACAGAGCGCTCAGTCCCTTCTCATCATGACCGCTCCGCTGTCACTTTACCAGTACGACTGCTGTGCGAGCCGTCCTCGGTCATCCCACTACCAGGTAAGAGGAAACCTTTGGTGAAACGGGACCTCAGCTTCTACCACTCTGCCTCAAAACTACACTTCCGCCAACACAAGAAGGCTCTGGGGGAACAGAGACGTTTTCGATGGGAAAGGGAAGGCACACGTGGACAACGAACCCCAGATTTAAAGGGGAGCACGAACCCTGCGTGGCCGTGCCCGTGGCCATCTCGGCATGTGCAGAGTGAGAAGCCAGGGTCACTGCCACCTGCACAGCTCTGCTGCGACCCCCAAGACAAAGAAAGCCAGTCACAAACCACGCAGCTCAGCTCTGACACCCACAAGAGCTGGGGAAACGAACCAGCCTGACAGCACGACTTAGCACTGCCAGCGAGCCCCAAAACTGACACGTGGAGGGGCTGCTCTGCCTCCACTCCAGCGGACACTGTGGGCGCCAGCTTTCGGGGAGTGTTTCTCTGCAGACACAGGCCCTGCCGTCGCTAAGGCCACCAGAAGCAGTTGCACAGCGGCTCACACCTGTGTCTGTGTGACACCGCCCCTCTCACCTGCTCACTGCGGTGTCTGCTGGGAGTGGTGGGTTTACTCTGCTCTGCATAATTTCAGGGGATGACGCTCTATCCTCGCAGCAGATGTTACAGAATTCAAACTACACTCTGGAAAGGTAAGTGTGCAAATTCCACTCATGTGTCCCAAGCACCCACGTGTAATCATGGGTGCTAAACCCTGGACCTTGCGGTTCAGTCACAGACATGTTCCTCTACCTGCCACCAGCACAGGTCTGCTGAACTAAAGGTGTCACCGGTGTGTGTCCGAAATCCAGAGACACGAAGGAAGGACCCCTGTATTTGAAAAGAGCTTTTCCCTTTCAAGCCAAACGTGCACGCACTTAAATGTACTTCCTAGACACAAAAATGGAACAACCAACACATTCTCCATACCGAATCAGGAAGTTTATTAGGCTCCTAGTTTCCATGTCTAGAACGTGAACACGGATGTGCATGCATTGTCTCATCGTGTGGATCTCGCATGCAAGTCGTCTTCATCGGCTAGACCTCTGGTTGTTCTGGTCAGCAATGTACAGTTAGCTCAATGTGAGTAATGACAGTGCAGAATGAGGCATAAACTGTAGCAACGAATCCCACCCAGTATCATGGACTTTTTTTCCAAAACCATATACAACTCTCTCTGGTAAAAAATAAATTTCAGAACAAGACATTTAATTGACCTCACTGATAAAAAATAAAGATAATTCTATCATCTCAGAATTCAGCAATGAATGTCCAGCTATGGCTAGAAGTTACGCCCTGAGAAGTAAATGATTTCAACAAACCACTGAGGTGTATAAAGCTGTGTTAACCTAATGCCAGGAAAGTTCGCCGATACAGCACAGACGGCCCTGCTCACTGCGCCGCGCGGGTCTCCGCCGTTTTGCAGGCAGCCTCGTGGTCATCCGTGCTCGAGGCATCGGTGGACTCAGGGTCACTCACCACGATGCCCAGAGAGGACAGGCTGGCGATGAGGGCGTGGACCTTCTGGGCATAAACGTCCCGGATGTTGATGTAGGGCAGTTCGTGGCCCTTCTCCGGGGCTTCCTCACTGCGCTGGTCCACATCGAGGTCCTTTTGCTTCTGGTAGTACTTTGAGAACTTGTTAAAGATGATGGTGATGGGCAGAGCCACCACCAGGATGCCACAGAGGATGCAGGTGCTGGCGACGACCTTCCCGGCCAGCGTGACGGGGTGGGTGTCTCCGTAGCCCACGGTGGTCATGCTGATGGTGGCCCACCACCAGCAGATGGGGATGCTGGTGAGGCTGGATCCTTGGTCGTCCTTCTCCACAGAGTAGACAAGCACGGAGAAGATGGAGATGCCGACAGAAAGGAAAAGCAGCAACAGCCCGACCTCGTGGTAGCTGTGTCTCAGGGTGGCCCCGAGAGACCGGAGTCCTACCGAGTGTCGGGCAAGCTTCAGAATGCGGAAAATCCGCATGAGCCGGAGAATCTGGACCACCTTGCCCATGTTCTCGATGTCCTCGCTCTCTTCTTCCTTGGTGTCTACTGCCAGCGTGGCATAGAAGGGAATGATAGAGACAAAGTCAATTATGTTCAAAGGATTCTTCCAGAATTTCTTTTGACAGGGAGCAGCAACCAGCCGGATGGCAAGCTCCCCAGTGAACCATGCAATGCAGGCCATCTCCACACCCTCCAGCACGGGGTCGTCCACCTCTCCGTCCTCGTTCTGGAACTCTGACATGCTGTGCACACACATGGCCACGATGGAGGCCAGCACCACACTCAGGGACGAGATGGCGATCAGCTTGGCGGACAGGCAGGACGCTGGGTTCTCCATGCGGATCCAGATCTTCTTCCGGAGCTGACCAAATCGCAGCTGGTCAAACTTCTCCAGCTCCTTCTCGAAGAGAGAGGACTCTTCAAAGGAGGAGTCGGTGCTGGCATCGTTGCTTCTCTGCTCCCAGTCCTTGTCCTGGCTCTCCTCCTTGCGTTCCTGGTAGCGAGTGCTGCAGCAGGAGTCGATGAACAGCTCGTTGATGCCCCAGTACTCGATCTCCTGGCAGAACGAGAACACACACAGCTCCTCCGTGACATGCAGCTTCCCCGTGTAGTAAAAGTTCAGAACGTATCTGAACAAGGACGGGTTCCGGTCGAAGTAGTACTCTCTGTCGGCCACACTGTAGTCATCACACAGCTCCAGGATGGCCTCTTCCGAGTGGCAGCTGAGCAGCCTCCCCAGGCGGGTGTGAGGGAACCGCAGCAGGGTTCTCTGAGCCACAGACTGCTTAAAGCCCCCCACGTTCAAGTTCACCAGTTCCTCGTCTTGTCCAGGGTGACAAAAAAACTCACCAAACACCATGATGGATCCAGGAAGCAGTGCGCTGGCCGGAAAGGGAGACACAGGAGGTCACGCTGCGCCTGCAAGAGCACAAGCCGTGTTAGCATCGCGACCGTCCTGCCTGGCCACACCTACGTCCAGTCCGCCTCTCCGGACAGGGGCTGCACTGAGAGCAAGGCAAGGAATGCAAAGAAAATGAATGAACTGTTACCACCTAACAAAAGGAAAACGCGGACAAAACAGAATCTTTCAACACTTTGTGGACTTATAGATCTATCTTTTTTAGAAAACAGAGAAGACTGCAAAAGTAATTGGAAGAATCCTAGATACTACTTACTTGTTAAGCACTCAGACTCCTCCCCCAACACCACATACTCTGGACTCACACAGTCCAAGCATCCCGCAGCTCTGACATGTCGGGCTCGTGACAGCTCCCAGCTCCAGGCCTGCCGCTCCCTCCTCCCATCCACCGAGTGAGGGGGTGGACCGTCTACACCCGCAGAACTGTGGGTCCTCCCCTCCGCACTGAGCACGACCCAGGGCAGGCTCGGCTCAGCCTCTGTGCTGAGTGCTTTACTCCCTGAGAGCCCCGGCCTAGGTTTGGGCTGGACAACCAGCGGGACATAAGTATTCCCTGCCTTGTAGGCTGGCAGGTATCACTGCTCTTCCCAGGACGGTGTTTCAGGCGCAGCTGCACGATCTGGCAAAACCTTTACTGAAATGCGTGCTGAGTTCCCAGACACAGCATACTGCTCTCCTGCTCCTGGCCCTCAGTCTCCCACTCTGCCCTCAGCCACAATCGCCCCTGCGCACAGAGGCTACTCTCACCACACACAGGGGTGCTTTCAGTTCTGACACTAACCGGGCTGCACTAGACCTATCTCTCAGAGCGAAGAGTAGGTTTTGAGCATGGCCCGCTGGAGTCGTACTTCCGCCCCTGGTCACAAAGGGGTCCCCGTGGGACACACGAGAACCCCGCTGCTGGCCCTTCCAGCACTGTAAGGGAGAAGTGTGACAAGGCTGAGTCCAAAGCAAGCAGCAGGGGAATGACAGAGCCAATGCTGAAACCCAAGCTGACTTAATTCCAAAGCCTATGTTTTCTCCAGCACTGAACTCCGCCCACCTCATCTTCTCCCTCACTATAACCCCATAATCCAGAGCAGGAAGTGCTACACCATGGCATAGCCAGGAATCCTTGGGATCACTGAGAAAGGAGCAGAGGCCTTGGCTGGAGAGGCCTTACTGCAGCGGTGGCCGCGCAGAGCTGACCGAAGAGAGGGAGAAGCTCCCAAAGGAGCTGGGCAGGAGGCACACGGTACAAGGGCTGCTCAGCAGGCAGAAGAACATGGGCTGTATGCTGTCAGCAGAGCACAAAAGAGTCTTAATCAACAATGGACAAGGCTGCGCTTGTGACTATGGCTGAGAAAGATCCCTCTGAGGATGGATGCTCTGCCTCCATGCCACAGCACACAAGGACCCCTTGCCAATTGCTGGCACCATGTTCTTAGACTCCCAGCCTCTAGAGCTGTGAGATAAACTTCTTTCCTTTATAAATTAAAAACAGTTAAGTTTGGTGTGGTGGTGCACACCTGTAATCCGAGCACTTCAGGAGGATGAAGCAGAAGGATCAAGTCTGAGCCCAGCCTGCACAGTCTGGGAGACCCCATCTCATAATAACCAATTAAAAAACAGGGCTGGAGATGGAGCTCAGTGTGAAAGCCCTGAGGTCAATCCCCACTGCTGTCAATAATTAATAATTAATAATAATAACAAAGACTGTGCTTCCCCACAGGGCTGAAGAGCTCGGAGGCAAGGCTGGGGCTCAGGAGACAGGACAGAGAGGAGCAGCAGAGGAGCCAGGACCCGAGTCACACAGTGGGGTGCACATGGAGACCATGAGGAGTCCAGAAGCTATACAGTGGAAGTGACAAGAGAGGCAACTGGCTGGACAGAAAAGGGCAGGACTCGGGAGGTGTGCTGTCCTAACTGGCCTGAGGGGGTGGACGGTGAGCCCAGAAAGGAGGCAGAAAGTCAGAAAGGAAAGTGCAATCTGTCGGCAAGAAAGAAGACTCTTTCTCCAAAAGGGACACACTAGAAGTCACAGCCTTAAAATGCAGCCCCTGCTGTCCACCCCTGGAGGGAACACAGGAGCATTTGCTCTCAAGAAACCCATGCCGAATGTATTGCATGAAACCAGAGACTGTAACATGGCTGGCAGCGCTTAATAGGTTTGCTGACCTCTTCCAAAAACTCAATTTTCCCCCTCTGCTTTCTGTTTTCGATTAGATATCTTCTTTGCGAGGCCTAAATCAGAGCTGCTGACTTGGTCCAAATATTTATATAACTTCACATCTGTGAAAGCCAGCTCACGCTCATGGCATATGTAACAGTAAAGTGTTCCAAGGAACTACTTTAGCTAAGCTGCTGCTCAGGCTTTCATGGAAGTTATCTTCTGGTGAATTATTTCTCCCCGCTCGGCCTCCTGGAAGCCAGCGATGATGGAAGTCAGTGTCTGTCTCTGCGACACTCGCAGTGCATGTGGCCTCCTGGCTGGGGCGTGGGACCCCCTTCCCAGGCTCCATCACTTTTCTGAGCGCACGCTCATCACCGCACTGCCAGTCTTCCCACTCTGTTCCTGCTCCTTGTTTACTCTGTACCAGTGAAGGAGAGCCTGTCACGAGGTTCACCCATCCCACGGTCTGGGCGCAAGAGCAGCACGCATCATAACCAGACGTCCCGACAGAGGCCCTCAGCAGGGAGAGGACAGCGTCTCCAGGGCCCACATGAGCACCCTGGCTCAGCAGCAGCCGAGAGGCCCTGGCCAGCGTGGGTTTCCTCGACTGAGCCTGGACCATGTCAGCCCAGCTGGGGCCGGAGTCAGAGCTCTCACCAGTACCAGCTGCAGGCAGCTCCCTCGCGCAAACGTTTTGCGGTCACACCAATCCTCCTCTGTCAGACTTGGCCAGGAAGAAGCGGAGTCAGAGATGGGGGCCGCTGTCCAGGCCCAGGGCAGAGGCCCAGGGCAGGCTGCTGCCCAGCTCAGCACTCCCTGTCTTCTGTGTCCCTACTCACACGTCAAGGCCACAGAGACCCTGAGCAGCATCGTCTCCAAGATACCTGCACTCGGGCAGCGTTCCTTAACAGCGTCTCACTTAGTTCTGTCAGGGCATGTGGACAGGGTCACAGGTATATCTGTGTGTGTGTAAAGTATAAATATTTATAAATAGATTTCATATAAAGCTTATATGTACATAACATACAGTGTAAATATAGTTGGCCCTCCGGGTCCCAGAGTTCCACATCCCAGCCAACTACAGATCACAGATACCTTTTGCGGGGCAGGTAGTGCACGCCTTAAATCCTAGCACTCGGGAGGGTGAGGCGAGACAATTGCAAGTTAGGCCCAGACTGGCAAACTTAGCGACTCAGCAGCACACTGTCCCAAAATAATTTTTTTTAATGTTAAGGGGCTCGGATGCTGCTCAGTGCAAAGGTCATGGGTTCATTCCTAGCACCTCAAAAACCAAACTTTAAAACTTGCATCTGTACTGAGCACATACAAACTGTTTTTATTTCTCACTGTTCCCCAAACAAGGCAACACGATGACTACTGACACAGAGTGTATCTGGATTGGGTATTATAAGTCCCCTGGAGATCATTTAAACTTTAAATACAGGAGGGTGTGTGCAGGTCTCACAAATGTGGTAACTACTGTACCACTCGCAGAAGGGCCTGAGCGACTGAGGACCTATGGAGCTGCTGAAACCACTCCCCACGAGAGACAACCACAAGAGCACGTGCATGTGCGTGCATGTGTGTGTGCACGTGTGCATAGAAGTAGACATGCCGAGAACCATACGCTCCTAAACGAAAACATGGGCAGCTCATTCATAACCCAGAAGCATGAAAAGCTTTTCTAATTCTGACTCAAAACACAGGGACAAAATAATGAAAGAAAATAAATTTGATGGCATGCAAGCACATTTTGATAATGGAAAAAAATATACCATAGCAGCGTAAAAAAGGAATATGAAGAAATAATTGCCATGCATATCATAAATGAGAAATTAATACATTTAATGTAAAAAGAACCTTAAAACAGAAACCAAGAAACCAAGCAATAACAGTACAGAAAAATAGGCAAGAGATGGAGCCAAAAAAAGCTCACTGAAAAAAATGTGGTTCTGAAGTCAGGAAAAAATTGTTCAACTTTGTGGGCTGGGGACTTAGCTCAGTGGCAGCAAACCTGCCTGGAAAGCACAAGGTCCTGAGTTCGATTTCTGTTGCTGGAAATAAATAAATTAAATAAATAATTTAAAATGGTTAACTTTAAAAAAAGTTCAACCTTGCTCACAGAAAGAGACCTGCACATGAAACTACAGTTTAATATGGCAAATTGGGGGAAAGCCAAAGATAAAACTCCATATTCTACCGATGAGTCTGTGGTAAGCAGACACTCTACATGGTGGCGTAAACACAGAATGTGAGGGAACCCTAAGGAGCAGAATTTAGCAAAACCACAAAGGCCTCTACCCTTCGACCATCAATTCCTCTTCCAGAAATCTTTCCCTGAGGTAGGCAAAACTAGGAAACACTTGCATAACTGGAAACAACCTAAGTATCCATTAACAAGAATTGGATTTTGAAAAAGCCACGTGTGTGTGTGTGTGTGTGTGTGTGTGTATGCAATGGAGTGATTTCTAGGCTGATTTAGTTAAGTAAAGAAAAAAGCAAGTAACATAAGTGTCAATAGTGTGCTACACTTTACCTAAGGGGATGGAAACAAGTACATACACCATACATACACCATACATACACCATACGTACACCATACGTACATACATACATACACCAGAGTGTATGCTTATATAATGAGAAAGAAACAGTGAAAACATAAACCAAAATTTAGAAAAATGCTTTCTTACATGAAGATAAAAAGAAGCAGGGCATAAGAGACAGCAATGGAAGCTGGATATGATAACTACATAAATGTTTTACATAATTAAGAAACAAAAATAAAAATGAAACAAGCATTAACTGTGCAACAAATTGGTGGTTACTTCAAAAAGATGAATGGCT